CTCTAAGCAGAAACCAATCACAAATATGTCCACAAGTGCCAAAGGATTCAAACCTCTGTGCATGAGTTTTCAAACTGATCATAAACCCACAGGATTCAAACCTATGTGATCCAGAGACACAAAACACAATAAAACACTGTCCAACAGACCCAAAGGGTTTGAACCTCTGCTGATCTGTGGAAATATCACAAATAACCCTGTCTATAGGTCAAAGAGTTTAAACCTCTGCCAACCTGTGGAAATAACTAAAAAGTCCACATTAATCAAGCCAAAGAGTTCAAACCTCTGCCACCTGTAGTGCTGCACATCACAAATACCTCAAAAACTCAAGATAGTGTCTTTCAGACACTGCTCTCTTATTCTCAGGCTAGGGCACAATTCAAAATCTCTTATCAATTCAAATTCAAGTCCCTTACAAGCTTCTTGTGCCTCATGCAGTCCTCAAATCTCTCTCAATGATATCAATAATAGGTCTATTTTCTCACTCAAAGTAATAAACACAAACCCAGAGCTATAGTGCAAGGTTTTCTATGCCCAATACACTGCAACTGTGGGGGGTTGGAAATTTGTTTACTACTCTTATAATGTGATACTTAAATAGCCTACTACTGTACTTACTGAGACACACTAAATATAGTTTCAAAGCACAGGACTCCATTCCAGAGTCTCTGGCATATCATTTGCATGCATGTTACAGTCTGACATGCATATTCTGCTTCAGGTCAGACTGCCTTTTGTTTCTATGCAATCTGACACTGGTTATCTCTGTTAGTAGCCTGGCCACTGGTCTCTTCACTTTCTTATTCCTCCAGAGCAATTAATCCATGCACAGGAGTTATTCTAGACTTCTGAGATCATTCCTGGTCATTTCTTTCACCAAATCTTCTCATTTCTCAGTCAATCTCTCCAATATTCAGGTTTATCTCATTATGCACTAATGCTCTGTTCTAGAACATGTCTCTTGGTAATTTAATACCTATGCATCATTGATCAATGTGATGCAAAGTCATGTGCAAAGCTGTTACATGCATGCCACTGGCCTCTGTATCACCTCAACCAACCATGGATTTAACTCCAAAACCCACCAGACTCTGCCTGCTTCCCATTACCTATTAATTTCATTTTTACCATTATCATTTCACATCTGTGTTTCACATTGTAATACTTAGACCCTGAACTCAGTAGCAAATATTGACACTGGAACCCAATGGAATCTGACTCAGAATTAGCTACTATTAGTATATAAAGCCATATAGAATTATTGTAACTACTCAGTTCAAATATCAACTCAGATAGCTATCTACACTTCATGCTCACTTCAACTCCTCTCTATCTTGTCTGTTGGATTCCACTCTGAAGGATATCCCTCTTTGCTTCTCTGATGGAACTCCATTCTGTCCATCCAAATCCTTGGACTCCAACTCAAGGGTGATGTTGCCAATAGCTTCATTGATGCCCATGCACTCTGCCAGTCTCTGCACATGCACAGAAGTTCAGTCAACTGGCACATTTCTAACAAAAGTCCTGATCATATTTTGATCATATGCTCTTTATTTTTAGTGGGTCTTTCTGTACTTGTATTAGTGCAATTAGTGTCAAGTGCTGGAACCTCATGTGCAGTATGACCCCCTCTGATATCATTCTGCTGCTAGGCCATGCTCTCCATCTATCATCACTCAAGCCAGCTGTCATGTAAGTCCTATTTTACTGTGCTCTAGCTATATTCTTTATTGTGCACATAGTAGACTGTAATACAGTCCATGTATTGTCATAATTCACAGAATTACATGCCTGGATATGCAGCATATGCCAACCAGCCTGGATAAAAGTCTATGTCTGAATTTATCCTATTCATGGGTCAAGGTGCTGTTATGTGAACATCAAAAAAGCAGCCAATCATTACTGTCTCCACTGGTAAATCTGAATATGTTACTCACACCAGCATTGGAGAAGATGATATGGCTTTACAAACTCCTCTCTGAGCTCTCCATCTTCATTGCAAACTCTTTCATCTACCCAATGAACTCTATTATCCTCTTCTCTGATAGTCAAAATGCACTTTCTATTGCCAAAGATTTAGTATTCTATGAATAAACAAAGCACATTGGAGTCTCGTGCCATTTCATTTGGTAAACCATTGAGCAAGGCCACATCAGGCTGATATACTGCCCAACTGATAACATGGTTGCTGATATCCTCATAAAACCATTGGCTCATCCAAAATTCAAGAAGTTTGCAGAGGTGCTGAGCATTATATAAGCAAACCATACATGTTTTGAGGGAGAGTGTTAGACATAGAAATAGTATGATATAAACAAGTTCACTTATCTATTTGATATTCCTTCTTTTTTCAGCATGTCACACTATTCTGCACATCTCAGCTTTCAACCAAAATGCTGAGATTAATGTTATGACATTCTATTCTAGCATCCATTCTCTTTCAAACTTTTTTTCCTCATTCACCATGTCCACACTCCTACTTCATTAACTCCAATATACATGACAAGCTGGGGAGCCAAAGAAGAGTATTGACCTGTGTCAGCCTCCTTATGGTCTCCTTACTGCTCCTGCTTGCTTGGCTTACAGATAGCAGATGTCACTATTCACACTCCCCCATCTGCTCTACAGACATATTCTGAACCCCCTCTGGCTCAATGCTAGGGATCCTGTCATACATCAAGCTCTAGAATAAGCTAGATCCTTCTGTTGCCCAGTCTCAGACTCACATTCTCACTCACCAAAAAGGATGAGACTGAAAAAAATGACATTCATTTGACATGAAATGTGGAAGATCATCTTTTCTCATGGAGCTGTGGAATACCCTTGGATGGCTGAAGGTGTTTCAGGCATCAACAAAAGATGAATGACACTGCCAGTAGTAATGGCTCTTCCACTCCCATTGATCCCATCATCAGAGGCATTGTGAGCAGTGTGGGCATCCTAACTCTCTCTGCCCTTATTTCTTTCTTTTTTTTCTGATGCCATCATTGGTGTGGATCTACTACTAAAAGTGCAGATTGAACCAGTGGACAGGCAAATGGGGACACATGCTCTACAATGCACCTCTGATCCAACTCAGCAATGACCCAGATCTCCATCCCTACCTCATTCCACTCCAGTGGTATAGTCAACATGATGAACCACTCATCTTCACAAGTGCAGAGGGAGCTTGTGAAATGTGAATGCTTTGGCATAGAAGATGTTAGACACACATCTAGATTAAAATCAAGTGTACATATATCTTTAGAATGTAGGGCTGCATAGAGAAAAAAATGGTTTCTTGGAGCTGGTGAATATGCCAAGATGAATAATCATAGGTGACCATAAGACAACACCAGTGAACCCAAGTGCTATCCCCATACGGGGATCCTCGATCATGTCTTGATTTCATACGCAAATCTAAAATAAACTGATGCATATAAGACTATCTGCTTTTGGATTCGCATATGAAATCAAGACATAATCGAGGATCCCCGATTTGTCTTGGCGTTTTCGTATAAAAAGGGCAAAAACTTGGCTCAAAGTCATTTCCAGCAGTAACCATTACCACCACCGCTCTGCAGATGAACGCCCTCCCGAACGTTGACTTCCAGCCTCTACAGATGAACGGCGTCCCTTCTTCGCGGCCTGAGGATTCACATGAGACAGAGAGTCCAACCCAATCTTCAGGTCCTCCGTTTTCCCAGAACGACCCATACGACCACCTCTCCGACTTCGATTTCAGGCAGGATGTCGCTGCTATCGCGGATATGATTTTCGCCGATGACATCTTCCAAGACCTTTTCTCTTACCTTCTGCCAACGGACTCGCCCATCATTTCTGGCGACACTTCGACATTTCACTTGGACCCTCCTTTGGCTCCTCCCGCGACACCATCTACCCCACTGGAGCCGGACTCCGAGTGGCCGCTCTCAACACCGACTCTTATGTGCGTCAATGTATCGGAACTCACATCTTCCTCATTGTCCACGGCATCCTCTTCATTCTTTCCGGAGCAACGTCCTGACCCATTGCCTTCTCCTGAGGCAAACGCACAGCCCGCTTATCAGGACTTCTCGCCATTTAGGATGCTACAGTCTAACTCGGAGATGTCCTCAGCTTCTAACTCGTACACGAAGTCTATGAGCAATTCACCACGGTCGGAATCCGAATTTTCCTACCACGGAGACAACGAATCGGATTCTGGTTCGGCCTACCGCCCTAGTCCAGGACCCTCGAACCCCAGAAAGAGAACTCGGTCGACCACGACGACGAAGCACTTGGGCGAGAAGGACGACCGTGGCAATAAGAAAAGTCGCGGAAGGAAAGTTCCCGTTGTTCCGGAGTTCCGTCAAGACGATCAGTTTGAAGCAGGGCTTTACGAGGTGATTGAATCGACTCCGTTCGGCTTGAAGAAGATAGGCTGTATCGACAAGGACGAAAGGCAATACGTTTGCGCGTACGAAGGATGCGGAAAGTGCTTCTTTCGAGGCGAGCATCTGAAGAGGCATATCAGGGCCCTCCACACATGCCAAAAGCGTGCGCTCGACCTTTTCTCTCGGTTCCGGTGCTCACAACTCCCTAGCTCATAAATGTCTGAAAAAAGGCTGCCTGAGGTCTTTCGGCAGGAAAGACAATCTGAAGCAGCATATAAGTATCTCCCATTGAGGCAATTGTCTCTCGCGTTGCCCATTTTCCCTCACCCGCAAAGCTAAGAACTTTTAACATTCTCTTCGTCTTGTTGCTTTCCGTTGAAATCCGTCGGCTATCCTGAACCATATATAATACATCCATTCACCACTTTACACCGTACCGCTAGGCTTTGAACTCTCTTCACTTCAAGTAATAATTTCTATCTGTACTCGCTTTGTTATACATACATAATTCATGATTCACATGGACTTAAGAAACTGTTGCGGACATACGGAATTCTCTCCATCTCCGGAGGTCTCACCCGGAAATAAATCATTTCTCCATGCTGCACACATGAAGTCGGTTGGCTGTAGTGCCGTGAGACAACAAGCGCATCCAATTGTGGTGGCAGCCCACCGCAAAGTCTGTGTAACATCAAATTATTATAACCTCTCAGTCATACCAAACGGCATTTGCGCAGCACCCTCCGTCGACGAGGTCGATGTGAGCCACGGCAGTGGCGTTTGATGCGTCGTCCAGCAGCTGCCAAATCTCGACAAACCCGACGGATGTGTCCGTGATGGCGGCAAACTCATCCGCAAACGATGCGGGGCTTACGGCGTTGGAGGTGCCCCCTGAGGTTGTGGTGGGGGTGATGAAGAGCTGGTTTGCGATGGAGCCGTTTCCGTTTAGGCTGAACACGGAAAGGTACCCCGTTTCGTTGGTTTCACGGGACCGGGTTGTCGCCCAGAGGTAAGTCGCGTTGGCGGACACCTGGACTTCGTCAGCCCAGTGCGTGGTCGAATCGGAATCTGTATAAGGTGTCGCATACGTTAATTTGGTTTGCTTGCTTGCTTGGCTGGGGCAATTGATGGTGTCGTGGGGTGCTTACCTTGTGGGAGAAGAGAGTACGAGACATTGAAGTAAACGGGCTGATGGGTTTGCCCGTCGATGCTGTACTGCGCAACCTCGTTCGCTTCCTGAAACAAAAATTTGAAATTTAGTCTTGAGTCAAAAAAAAAAAAGCATTTCATCCGTTTTACCTCTAAGATGACAAACAAGTATTCGCCATTCGGATGGACTGTTAGATGCCTGGGATTGTTTCCTTCCGCAGGCGCGTCTAACACTCCAATATCGGTCAGTTCTCCGGTGGCGATGTCGACGCCGAATGTCCAGATCTTGTCGTCGCTGTCATCTGCAGCATAGAGATACGTGCTATTGGGAAGAAGAGCAAGACCGTGGACGCCAGAGGAACCCGATGTGAAGGTGTAGTTTTGGGTAATGGATGAGAAGTCGGCCGGTATAACGGTTCCACAGTCTCCGAAGGGTATTCCTGAATCCGGGAATGTGAGCGAAACAATAGGCAGGATCGCGCAACATACCGTATACGGTGTAGGGCTCGACCTTGGAAGAGGTGATAAATATAGCTCGAGTGGATGAGCCTGATCAGAGGAAATGGGTCAGGTCATAGAAACAATGTACGTCGTAAAGAAGTAAGCGCACAGTTGCTCTCAAGAGGGACGGATGCATTATACGTGACGCTGGTACTGTTCACCACATTGAAGTATCCGTATGCGCTGTCGCTTGCCGTGTAAAGGCTTTTCCGGTCATGCTGCAGAAAGGTGGATGGTAAGACAAGAGAACAGCGCGAGGTACATGAGCACCCACGCTCAGATTTATCCACGGATGTTCACTGGGTGTTGTAATGTTCGCAGCAAGAGTCAGCGAGTAAGTCTCGTCGTCGAACTCCAGTGCATAAATCGCATGGGTGGAGAAGGTTCCAACAAAAAGATGGTGGACTGCCGCTGAACAGAAGCTTGATAGCAAGAGAGCTACTGCGACTCTTGACAGGATCATGAGATAATGCAGAGAAGGACTGGTATCGCGGCAGACTTTTATACCCTGCTGGTGGGCTATTAATAGTATCTTCAACCAGGGAGTAAAAGTTATATAAAAATAAAACGTGAGTACGAGAAAATTCGCAGCACTTACGATAATAATTGCCTATTGGCACTGCTGCGCATGGTTTTTTCACCATAACGTCCCTAAGGCATCACTCGTGAATATTCCTATTGAATTTTGAGGATCCATGTGCCGGTGATGTGTGAACGTCGGTATGGGGAGAGCGAGCCTACGGAGTTGCCACTGTCCGCAGTTCGTCAACCAATGGGACAATTTCGGTTATTAACATGACATCTTCACAGCGAGGGCTCGCACTCTTAGGTCACCGTCGACGGGCAATTGGCGCTAGAGTGTCTTTGATTTTTCTGAAGAGTAAGTTGGCATGTCTCTATACGCTTCCTTGAAACAGTTGCAATAGGTTAGTTTTGGAAAGAATAGAATAACACGAGGAGAGGATCTACTCCAAAGACGCGAGAACTGCGGTAAATACCTCATTTGTGACGGTCCCTGGAAGATGAACATCAGAGTCGTCTAGGATACAGACACCGTCTGAGCAATTTGAACACATTAGCTTGTTAGTACAAACAGAGGCCGATCCCGGTAGTTCTTGTGTAGCTGGTTAGCTCTGAGCACCGTATTCTTGAACAGGCACTTGTCCTCGCGAAGTATGTCAAACCAAGGATAGGCCGGATATCTTCCTTGGTTAGGAACGAGACCACCTGTAGACGTGTCAATTACATATCAGCGAGGAGCTTGGAATAAGGGCCCAAAGCGCACCGACTTATCGCCAGGTTCCCTTGCATCCCAATTGATGCTGTCTTGATTCTTCGGAAAGGATGTCCTTGTACATGTACCACTGTATAGCGGAGAAATCATGTCTTCTTCCCAAGCTGAGGATCGTAGCAAGCAGAGGCGGTCTTGTTGTTACCTGAACCTCAGTAAAGAGTATGGACAGAGACGCATGGATCACCAAGGACAAGAAGAAAGAAAAGAAGAAGACATTGGGTCGAAGCCGTCAGATTTTGTGTGGTTAAGAGATGAGCTTTCCTTTAGCCTGGTAGTAGTGATCCCTTGATAATCTATCAGAGATAAGCAACCAACTGGCTTATGTGGTCAGCAGTATGGCATGAGAGACCTGCCATTTACATATGCAGGGCTGTAGCCATGGGCAGTGGATGGCACCAGCCAAGAAAAAAGTGGATCAAGAACTGAGCCCACTGCAGAGACAGTGCTGCTGGGGGAATTCACAGGTACAGGGATCTCTCCACTGGGTCAGGGCACCCCTGATCAACAGAAAAAGAAGGCAAATACATGAAAAAGAAGCAGAGAAGGTATCACCCCCATTGATGAGAGAAAGAAGCTCAAGACTGGTCATCTGATTAATGAGAAAAGGAAGCTCAAGAAGTGGGTGGTTGAATGGAAAAGAAGCAGGCAAGAGCTCACACCAAGCAATAGAACATGCTAGCAGAAATGAAGGCAAGAAGGTGGTGGGTTTCTAATGTGCAGCCACAGTCAGCATGGTCAGGTATAAAGACATGGAGACCAGAGACTGACTCACCTCAATGTCTCTCTCAGCATTACCTATCATGCCCCTTTCTTCATTCACTGACTTTGAATTTGAATACTGGCAGAGCATTCCTTTGCATTGGACAGCAGAGCATGTCCACTCACTTTATGACTTCATTGTAGCAGATCTGATTCAGTGTGAGCAGTCAGAGCTTAAGCTGGCCCATGCATGGTGGATCCACAAATCAATTTGGTTCTGTGTGAGTCTGCTCTGCTCAGTTTATGACTGCTGCTGACCTCCCAGCAGGATAAAACAGCCTGCCTTGCCAGAGTGACAGGGCTACCAGCTAAGACCCTCTGCTGTCAGTGGGCTCTTGTGTTCTGGTGCATCCACCCATTTCTGAGGCAGTTCTGCCAGCTTAGCATTAGAGAGCAAGCAGTGCATAGTCTCTCCTTTCATAAGAGCTTGTTGACTGTCATGGGCAAATGTGGATCTCCTTCTTTGCTGCTTCTATCTGAGTCTCACTCTCTTATCTAATAAAAGAACTTAAAGAGTAACTAGATGACACTAACAATTTCATTAGACTTCATCAGAACTGCATATAGGATTCCAGCATTAAAAGTTTGCACCATGTATAGGTTGCACCACCCAGTGTCCAGATCCTTATATGATATTCCTACTATAGGAAAATTCATATACATACTGTGAGTCACTGTAAACAATTCAGAGTCTCATACCCCTGTAGCCACCTCTTGCTACACTCCTTTAAAGATTAGTCACCATACAGAGGTACATGACTAGACTCACTTAGACCAGCCTTCAGATTCTGTGTCTTAGTTTCACTTATCAAAATAGGTTTTGTGTTTTCTGCCTGCAGAGAGTCTGAACAGACAACTTCTGGTTTATCAGTGAGAATATTGGTAGCTGAAGTTGAGAGTAGACATAGAGAAGTATGTTGAGGCCTGTGAAACCTCCCAATGCACCAAGTCAAGCACACAGATAAAGGTGGCCTCACCACATCCAGATGAGATATTAAGTGCACTATAAACACACATCTCTGTGAACATAGTGACTGGCCTATCAGAAAGCCATGGCTATGATGCTATCATCATCATAGTTGATCACTTCTCTAAGGCCATCATTTCTATTATGTGCTCAATAGAACTGTCATCCAAAGAATGGATTAAGATCTTATAGGACAAAGTCTATGCCAAATATGGCATGCCACAGATAGTAATTTCTGACTATGAGCTACAGTTTATCTCAAAGTTTATAATGGATCTATATCACTTACTCCAGATTTAGAGTAACATTTCCACTGCCTACTATCTACAGACAGACAGGCAGATAAAAAGAGTCAATCAAGAGGTGGAAAAGTATCTCTGGATATTCATCGATCATTGACAAGATGACTGGGCCAACTGGCTGCTGCTCACAGCCTTCCAACACAACAACTGCATCTATATGGCTACTGACAAGACCCCATTCTTCATTAATCATGGGTGACATCTGCACATTACTGCTTCATCATATCACTATGCCATAACCTTCATCTTCTCAATGTTCATAGAACAAATGGCCAAGATACATGAAAAAACAAAGACTGCCCTTGAGAAGGCTGCTGACACTATGAAACATCAATATGATAAGTCCTGTCACCTTGCCATCCAATATAATATTGAGGACTGAGTATGGCTTGACACATCAAATCTCCATCTCCCATGCTCAAAGAAAAAGCTTGCCAACAAATGTACCAGCTCTTTCTCCATCACAAAAAAGATTGATGCTTTAGCTTATTAACTTGCACTGCCTGCCACATGGAAGGTACAACCCATATTCAATGAGATCCTCCTATCACCATACACATTCTCCATCTTCTCTAATCAGGAAATGCTGCCTCCTCCTGAATCCAATCTGATTGAAGACAAGGAATATTATGAAATTGAACAAGTGCTTGATCACCAGCTTCATAAAACCTGTGGCTGCCATGGTGCCAGATTCAGTTCTCATGTTGAATATCTCATTAAGTGGAAGGGGTATAGCCTAGAGTCAAATTAGTGTGTGGATGAATGTGACATGAATACTGACACTGCAATTTATAACTATAAACTATTTCTTAATTGAGCCATCAGAATGGTTTTAATAAAAGAGTAATGTTATGATTTTTCTATTTTTTCTTGTCTTTTATCTTATCTTATCAGGGTGTCTATCTTATCTTGGACACTCAACAACTGAGCATAAGATAATTACTTAATCACAATAGGCCACCCACTTTGCCCACAGACAATATCATATTATCTTGCTCTTGATGATCAGGCACTATAGTACCAGCACACAAAGATGCACAATTTGTAGAAACTATATTTATTATTTGAGTAACTATATATAAATAGGATCACTCTTGCTGTAACACTCCAGCTTCAAGCTAAAGTTTATCTATACTACTTCTCTCCTCTTGAGCTTGTTCTGTGAAACACCTTGATACACTGATTAGAACACCTTTAGTGAACTCTGATGTGACTATACAAATATGATACAGTATCAGTCTACCACATGTTCTTATCATGTGTTGAGCAGGTTTAACAGAATATGCCAATAGAATGAAGTTGATTATATGCATAGAGACTAGCAGAGTGCATGAGCTTTAGCAATGTCACTTTTGAGTTAGATTCCAAAGGATCAAGATGACAGAACAGAGTCCATCAGAGGAAGGAGAGTAAATAGAAGGTGAGGTATTCTAATGCAGTGGAGTCTATTAGACTTAGAGGAGAGCTTGGAGTGAAGATAAGATTATTAGGCTGAACTAAGTTAATATTTGAACTGAGTATCTATGATGAATGTACACAGCTTATATACTAGTAGTAGCTAATTCTGAGTTGGGGTCTGATAAATTCTGATGCTAACTAATTGTTACCAACTTTGGGTTAGAAATTAAGATGTAAAATATAGATGTGAAATGATAAAGGTAAAATCAAATAAAAAGAAATAGCAGCTTGTTGGACTTCAGTGGGATCTGATAGTTGACAAAGTGTTGGTGGTGTAAAGTGGAGTCCAGTTGCATACACATAACATCAGCTAATATTGCTATTAAAGTTTTTAATAAATTATTTTAAGACATAATATATTTTTATATAAAAGTATTAACCAATATCCAGATATTAGCTAATTGAAAACTAACATATAAAGTAATAGAAGAGTATTGGAGGTTCTAAAGCATCATATTATTTAAAATAGAGCATACTAGTCTTATATCTCATACTTCTCCCATTTGCTCTGCTGAAATCTTCTTCTTGAGATACATTTCTATGACTTCAGGATTCTTTAAAGCAGATGACATGTTTTATGGAATGAATATAAAACTGAGTGAAGGGAAGTTACTAATTGGAGGACTATAAGTTATATTGTGCACTAGATTAGGAACTTGTGTCATAATTTGTATTTTTTGAGTTAGTGTTCACATTCTTTTAA